TTAAGAAGAGTAAAAACTCCAAATATCATCGATAAAATGGAGTCTGGGTCTACTATATTCTTGTAGTAGAAAATAAAAGAAAAAAAAATTTTTTTTTTTCTAAAAAAAAAAATTTCAGACTATTTCTTTTTTTCCCTTTCAGAAAGAATTTCTATACAAAATATAATCAATCAAAATCACATTAGGATTTACCTCTTTTTTTTTTTTTACGGAAAAAAAATAACAAAAAAAATCAACAAACCTCGGTTCCGGACTTGTTTATTTTCAAAGGGTTAACGTGATTTTTTTAATATTAAAAATCCTATCTTATTTTTGTAGATATAATATTATATAAAAAGGACTTGAAAAGCGTTACAAACTTTTTAAAAAAAAAAAAAAAGTCTATCTCATCATGCCTTTCACTTTCTCTGCAGGGTCTTTTCCTTTTCTAAAGAGTTCAACAACTTCTCAGCCTAATATAAAACAAAATAATAATGTAGATAATGTAAATAATATTAATAATAATATCGTCAATGATAATTTAGATATGGGTAAAATTCCCCTCAATAATACTATAAACGTTATTCCATTGGAAAGAAGGGTTCGTTCTTTAGATAATTCTACTCCTAAAAATAATCGTCGCACTAGTAACGCGAGTAACTTAAAGAATACTAATAATAGAAGGGCTTGGTATAAATCTTTATTTGTTCGTATACATCAAACCTTATCTCGATCAAACGATGATGATATTGTTAATGATGACGATAACAACAACAATAATAGCAATGATCATGATTGTGATGTTAACAATACTGTTGAGAACAATAATGATGGTTCAGGTGTTAAGGCTGTAACCGAAACTGAAAATATTGGAGAGTGTGATGATGATGATCCTATAATAATGAAATCAAGGAATGTTGTAGCTGGGGCTGAAAAATATTCTTTCATATGTCATGGGAATACTCACGACTTTTATGTTGTAACAAAAAATGGTTCTATGTCAAATGGTTCTATGTCAAATGGTTCTATGTCAAATGGTACTATGTCAAATGGTCCTACTATGTCAAATGGTTCTACAAATGGTTCTACAAATGGTTCCTTATCAAATGGTCCTATACCAATTGATCCTTTGTCAAATGGTCCTTTGTCAAATGGTTCTTTATCAAATGGTCCTTTAAACCCATCTAATTCTTCCCCTAATTCGGTATTTGAAGAATGTGCTAAAACTCCTCGTCATTTTGCAAAAGAACCTGAAGTGTTGGGTAAAGTTGGTAGATTTACTATAGTTAGAGAACGTGCAGATTTTGATACTACTTACTTTGATAAATGTCATTGTCAACAAAAACCTTGTCGTTTCTCTTCAAGTGGTTGTGGTGGCACTCATCCTGTATTACCCCCTGATGATGAGAATGATCGTCCTCCAATTCGTCGTCAACAAGTTACTTCTATCTCTCATCATCAATCTTGCTCAAATAAGAGTGATTCAAAATCTCGTCGTTCCTTTTATAGTAATAATACTCCTTCCAATTCTTCAAGAAATTCTTTACCTTCTTTACAACAAAAGTTTCCCGTTAATGTTTCTTGTATCCCGGTTTCAAAAGCTACCACTCCTAACGTTCCTTCTTCAAACTCTTCTTCTATTTCTCGTGTTATTTTACCTCAATCTTCTTCATCTCCTAATCTTGTTCACCTAAATCAACGTTCCAAGATTGAAAATAAAAATATTTCAAAGAATCTTCCTAATTCTTCAAGTATTATTGTTGGTGGTAATTCTGGTAAATATCTTAATATTACTCCAACTAATAATAATGGTTCTTATTATCCACAATGTAATAACTATTCTACTGCTGTGATTAAAAAATCTAAAAAACCTTCGTTAGTAAATATAAAATCGACTGAAGAACAACAACGTAGATTATCAATGCCTCCTACCTCTACTCAACCAACTCAACCTTTGAATTTAAGTTCCTCTTCAACTCCTACCACTCCTACAAATCCATCAAAATTCTCACTTTATCATCATCCAAATGAACCACCACATACTACGATAAATTCTCATAGTGGAAGAAAATTTGAAGTTGAATGGAATACCACAGCAAAAAGTTCCTCTTCAAGTTCTACATCATCATCTTCTTCTTCGGATACTGCTTATTCTCCCCCTTCAACCATAAGTAGTGTATTTAGTATGGCTTCAAGTCCTGATAAAAAATCTACAATAAATACCTTGAGTAGACGTTGTAGTACTCTAAGTAGTAAATGTGGTAGAAAATTTGAAGTTACAATTCTCTCCTCCTCCTCTTCTAGTAATAATTGTATTTTAAATACTTCACCACATAGTACCATCGGTAGTGTCAATAGTATAATTGTTGAAGCTGCAAATATGGACTCAACAAAGTATTAAGATGTGTATTTATTGGAGAGATGTGGCGATGTATGCAGTCTTCGTCACCTTGATTGATTTTTTAAAAAAAAAAAAAAAAAAATNATGATTGATATTTGATTCATTTGTCTTTCCCCTTATTCTCCATTTGCTGATTAGATCGATTACTTCATTTTCACTAGATGTCTTAAATTTCTTTATTAGTTCTACCTTTTCCCTGAATAAAATCTTTTGCTATCCTTTTTCTAGAATAGAAGAAAATTTATATTTATTTGAAGTGAAGTTTCCCAATTCTTTCTGGAGGTATCATTGGTGTTTTCATTTCATTTTGGCGCTATTGTAAGGGCAAAGCTTTGTTTGGTTTCTCTACCATTTTCTTTGGTTCAAAAATATTATTACTATTTTTCTTTTTTGAATCAAAAATTTCTTTACCTTCTTTCTTAACTTTCTTATCTTCTTTGTAGATCATCTTCTTGTTTCTTACAAGCCAAACTTAGCTTAAATCTCCTTGTGTACATGAATCCTCAACTGTTTCCTCCATTATTCACTTGATAATATATAATTATTATTTATAACATTAAATTGACCTATATTTAAACAACTTTATTCATTAAATCTTTTTTTTGCAGTTTTAGAACTTTTTTTTACTTAGTATATTAAAAAAAAAAAATCTGTACATTAAATGTGGTTAAAAAAAATCTGATTTAGATTAGTTTCAATTTTGACTAAATTTAATCAATATATTTAAATTACAGATTTTTAAACAGCTAAAACTCAGCTAAAATTTAATTTAAAAAAAAAATAACTGATAATTTTAAAGCTAATAGTCATATCTATAAAAATTATCAGTTAAATTTTTTACTTTAATATAAAAAAATTTTTTTTTAGGAATTTATAATCAATCAATTATTACAGATTCTGCACTATAGCAGTTATATAAATTGTGACTATATAGAAGTTAATTTATTAATAAAAATAATAATAATATAGGTTAAACTAGTATTCCAATCTGTAGATCATTTGTCATTTGTCATCTGAAAAAATTTTGATCCATCTGATCCATCATCCGTCAAGAAAAATCTGTATCTGAATTTGAATTTGAAGATTCATCTGTCAGATAATCCGTTTTATGTGATTACTATTGATCAGCAATAATTCAGGCCAATTTATAATCCTGGCCTGAATTATAATTCATGGTTATACCAATTATTTCCATATTTGGTGATAGCTATTCCACAAAATTATTTTTTCTGAAAAATAAAAATTTCCTTTTCAAAATGTTATGTAATATAAATTTTCTAAAATGGAATATAACTCTGACCAAAATTAAAAATTGATCTGAACTACTGTATAGACTTTAGATCTGTCTCTTATACACATCTAGATGTGTATAAGAGACTTAAGTAAACTTGCAGAGCAGGTGAAAATACATATATTTATCTGTAATATAATAAGAATAAAAAGTAAAAGAGTATAATGTCGGTAGCATTCAATTTCAAATTAAAAAACAAAAAATTAATCTATTAAAAATTATATTTATATGACCCGTGTACAAACACCCCGTGTAAACTTAGAAATTTTCTATTTTTTATTAAGATAATAAATAATATTTCTGATATATTTATATATCTTATTTTACTAAAATAAATAATTTATTAAATAATATAATAAATACAGTCAACTTTCTAAATGCATTTCTTTATTTAAAAAGGGTGTACATTTAGAGGAATTTTATATAATATATAGTTTCTGTATATTTAAAACTAAGTAAAAAAAGTGAATTTAAAGAAAAAATATATAATACATGTATTTAGAAAAAGTACATAGAATTGACTATAATTTTTCGTAAAAAAAAAAGCTATTATTAAAAATATAATAAAAAAAAAAGACATTGTAAAATTACTTTATTTATAGTACTCTTTAAAGTACTTTTAAATAATATATAATATAAAAATAATTTAATAGATAGTAAGAAATGGATTAAAATTTTAATTATATTAAATTTATTTATTAAATTTACAAATTATTTTATTTTTACTGAAATTATTAATTAAAGTTTTATTTTATAGTAAAAAAAATAAAAGGAAAATTAATAAATATATATATCATATACAATCAGACCTCTATATATTTACCTAATTGGTTCAATAAAAAATATGGTGCAGAACCTCTATAATAGAAACTTAAAAAAATTTAAATAATTTGATTCTATGATTGGATTTTAATTTTATAAAAAAATTAAACTCTATTTATTAAAAAGAATTGATTTATGATACATATATTAACCAATCAAAAATTAGAATTTTACAGTTTTGACTAAAATTTTTTTTCTAAATCTAGTTACTAAAAAACTAATTTATCTCTACAAATAACTTAGGTTTTAGGCTTTGTAGTCTACCTAGTCCTAAATTTTATAACCTAAATAAATCTACAAAAAAAAGAGAATTAAAATATGAAACTTCCACCATCTGACTTTTTGTTATCAGAATTCATTTTATATGTAAAATCACATGACTTTAATTATGTCATCAGTAGAATTATTCTTAATCTTCTTTCTTCTGTTTCTTCATTTTTGCTTCTTCTTCTTTTTCCTCTTGTTTTTCTTGTTTTTTTTTGCTTGAGCTTGACGATGCCTTTTCTGTTTCTGTTATTTCTTTCCCTTTCGTTTCTTCCTCTTTATTTTTATTTTCGTCTTTGATCTTACTCATACTATTATTATCTTTAATTAACCAAGGTTTTGAGATGATGGAGATGATGATTCTAATATTGGTTTTTTCTTTGTTGTCTTGGTATCTATTTTCATTCTTTAGTCTTTTTGTAAAATCATTATTTAGCATTATGTATTCTAAAAGAATCTCATTTTGTTCTGCCAAACTGATAATCTTTTTTCCTAAAAGAAAATAGTCATTCTTTTTTTGCATCCATTCATTGAACTTTTTCATTCCATCAATTTTCATTTTATCTTTCAAATCCTGGATTGCCTCTATATTGATCTTTTTCCATTCCATACTATTGGACATATTGTAAAAAATATCTTTTACTTCCTCCATTTTATTCTTATCTCCTTATTATTTGCTAAGTCTTGTAACTTAACATAATTAATTTTTTCCATTCGGTATTCTTTAATGATCTCAACAATTCTTTTTCAAGATGATTGATATTTGATTCATTTGTCTTTCCCCTTATTCTCCATTTGCTGATTAGATCGATTACTTCATTTTCACTAGATGTCTTAAATTTCTTTATTAGTTCTACCTTTTCCCTGAATAAAATCTTTTGCTATCCTTTTTCTAGAATAGAAGAAAATTTATATTTATTTGAAGTGAAGTTTCCCAATTCTTTCTGGAGGTATCATTGGTGTTTTCATTTCATTTTGGCGCTATTGTAAGGGCAAAGCTTTGTTTGGTTTCTCTACCATTTTCTTTGGTTCAAAAATATTATTACTATTTTTCTTTTTTGAATCAAAAATTTCTTTACCTTCTTTCTTAACTTTCTTATCTTCTTTGTAGATCATCTTCTTGTTTCTTACAAGCCAAACTTAGCTTAAATCTCCTTGTGTACATGAATCCTCAACTGTTTCCTCCATTATTCACTTGATAATATATAATTATTATTTATAACATTAAATTGACCTATATTTAAACAACTTTATTCATTAAATCTTTTTTTTGCAGTTTTAGAACTTTTTTTTACTTAGTATATTAAAAAAAAAAAATCTGTACATTAAATGTGGTTAAAAAAAATCTGATTTAGATTAGTTTCAATTTTGACTAAATTTAATCAATATATTTAAATTACAGATTTTTAAACAGCTAAAACTCAGCTAAAATTTAATTTAAAAAAAAAATAACTGATAATTTTAAAGCTAATAGTCATATCTATAAAAATTATCAGTTAAATTTTTTACTTTAATATAAAAAAATTTTTTTTTAGGAATTTATAATCAATCAATTATTACAGATTCTGCACTATAGCAGTTATATAAATTGTGACTATATAGAAGTTAATTTATTAATAAAAATAATAATAATATAGGTTAAACTAGTATTCCAATCTGTAGATCATTTGTCATTTGTCATCTGAAAAAATTTTGATCCATCTGATCCATCATCCGTCAAGAAAAATCTGTATCTGAATTTGAATTTGAAGATTCATCTGTCAGATAATCCGTTTTATGTGATTACTATTGATCAGCAATAATTCAGGCCAATTTATAATCCTGGCCTGAATTATAATTCATGGTTATACCAATTATTTCCATATTTGGTGATAGCTATTCCACAAAATTATTTTTTCTGAAAAATAAAAATTTCCTTTTCAAAATGTTATGTAATATAAATTTTCTAAAATGGAATATAACTCTGACCAAAATTAAAAATTGATCTGAACTACTGTATAGACTTTAGATCAACAGATGATCTGACTTCATCTGATCTCAATCTGTCATCCGATCTGTCAATAAAATGGTCATCTGACCTATTAGATTTATCTGACAGATGATGGATATTTGAATTTTATTCACATAGATGGTTGACAAATTGGAACACTAGGTTAAGCAAAAATAGATGTATATCATTGATAGAATAGATAGCAGTAATATTCTAATAATATTTTTTTTTTTAAAAAAAAAAAATTATTTAAATACATATTATTTAATTTTAATTGAATAAAAAAATATAATTATATTTATTATTACATACACTATCTAGACAAAAGTAGCAGACACCATATATATATTATTTACTTAAAATTGTACATAATAACAATACTTGAATTTTTAATATGTGATAATATAGATTTTAAAGAGCATATATTTAAAATTTTATGCTTCTAGACTTCATACATATGTATTAATTAAAAAAATTACAATAAAGAATTTTTAATGATTGAACAAATATAATAGGAAATATATTTTTATTATTTGCTTAGAATTATACATAATAATAATACTTGAAATTTTAATATGTTATAACACATATCCTAAAGAGTATGTATTCAAATTTTCATGCTTTTAATTTTCGTACAGCTATACTAATTGAAAAAAGTCTAAAAAATTCCTGATGACTGTTAAATAGAAAAAAAATTAATATTTCGGATAACATCTCATTTTTTTTTTTATTAGAAAAGGTGAAGACATATAAATTTGCACATTTACTTCTCAAAATAATAGCTTTCATATAATGTAAAATTTAAAATAATTTTATTTATGTAAAGTTTATAGAAAATGTGAAATACTGATGAATTTTATAATTTTTAAAGAATAATCAATTTTGCAAATTTTTTTTTACAATACTTATAGCTAACTATAGGAAATTTTGAATATATTGATAAGGATTCATGCTATTACATATTAAAATTTCAAATATTATTAATATACACGAATAACATGATTATAAATAAATTGGCAGCTTATCTGTCATATTAGTAGTATAATTATCATTAAAAATTTGTTTATTCTTTTTTAGGATTTTTTTAATTAAAACAGATGTATAAAAGCTAGAAATATGAAATTTCAAATATATACACTTTAGAATTTATTTTATCATATATTAAAATTTCAAGTATTATTATTATGTATAATTTTAAGTAAATAATACATATATGATGTCCGCTACTTTTGTCTAGGTAATGTATATATAATTATATAAAAGTTAAGAATTCTATTATAAAAATACTTTTTTATAATCATAGTACTTGATATTTTACTAAAATATGGAATAGTACTGAAAAAAAAAATCAAATTAAAATTTTTATCTGATTTAGAATATTTATTATTTTAAAAAAAAAATTTTATAAATTTGGTTTCTTTTCTAATATTTATTTTATATATTATATAAATATAAAGTATATATTTTTTAACCAATTAGAATTTAATTATATAAGAAATAAAGAAGTTAAAACTACTATTAATATTAAATTACTTTTATTATTTAACAATTTATATAATTTTATATTAATTGCCAATTTATCATTTAATAGTATAAAATTAATCTGTAGATTCAGTGCAGTTTTTATATGAATTATATTAATTGGCATATTTTGATATTGATTTTATTTTACAAAATTATGTCTAAATGTAATGATAATTTAGGAAGCTTACACATATTATATAATTATTAAAGGAGGTAGGGGTAACCAAAATTTTACATTATACTTAATAAAATTATATGATTTATAAATATTATAATTTAATTGGTTATTAAATCTGACAGGAAGGGGGAAGGAAATAAGTTTATATTAAACTGAATATTACGTAATATGTATAACTCCCCTTACCAATCAATAATATTAAATATGAATAAATCACAAAAAAAAAATTTTTTTATTATTTAATATAAATTTAATAAGTTTACTAAAAAAAATTACTATTTCATTTTATATTGCAAATTTACAAGGTTTTTTTTATAATATTGAAAAATATATTATAATATTTTTTTTTCCAAATTAACAAAATAACAAAAAAAAAAAATATTTTTTTTTTTTTTTTTTTTTTAGGATCTGCAAAGAATTTTATATATAATTTAAGGTAATTAAAGATCTTATTATATAAAAAGAAATTTTATGTTACATTATTATGATATTTTTCTTTTTTAGCTAATTAACCAATAAAATTTAAGCAAATTCTAAGATAAGGTTTCATATAAAAGTAAAATTTCTACTGGTATTAAACATATTTTAGTAATAGACAGAATCTTAAGTGAGTTCTATTAGATCATAGACTTATATAGATAATTATTATAAAAATTTTTCTACTCTATCAGTCAAAGAAAATCAAATTAATAAAGTATTAGTAAAAATGTTTATATATTGTAATTAGTGTTCCTAAAAATTCAGATCAGATTAGGATTTTAATAATTTGATTTGAATTTGATCTAATCTAATCTGAATCTAAAAAATATTATCTTATAATTTAGTAATTGATTGGGTCCTGTGATCACCAGACATTGAAGATAGGGCCTTTATGGCTAAGATGACCTGTTACTAAACGAAGTCTACCTATGGAGTCAAACGATCACTCGACAGTGCACACGTGGAGTACTACCGGTATGATGAGTGGTTTGTAGTTTAATTATATTAGAGTAGTTATTAGGAAATTTTACTTTGTATATATTTTTTATTTTTTTACTTTAATAAAACTGCAAATGCGTTGCGGAAAAAAAAAAAATAAAATAAAATAATTTAGTGATTGATTAAAATAAAAAAAAAAAGTTTATAAAATTGGACCACTAAATTATGAAATATTTATAAAAAATATTTTTTTTTATGATTAATTTAAGTTGTACTATATTACTAATCTAATCAAATTGATCTGTTAGGAGCATTAATTATAATTTGACATTTTCTCTTATTGAATATTCTTTTTTTATTGAATTTATTAAGATTTTACATACCATCTATAATCTTTTAAACTGTTAGGCTTTAACAAAAATTTATATTATTCAAAAAATATTTAGCAAAATAATTTTTTAAATACTATAAATATTCTTTATGCTTCTTAATAATTAAGCAATAATCATAAATTAATTACCCAGTAGAATTTGTCTATTTATCAAAAGCAATAGTAAGATTATCTTCTTCATCAATTATTTTATTGATTTTAATATCCTTCATCATATTAGCACATTTTTTGACAATAAAATCATTAAAATTATAAATAATATTGATTTTAAAAAATTGGCTGCAGTAATTTCAGATAATGCATCAAATGCTTGTATTTCTTAAAGGATTTTTTGTAAAAAATACTTTTATATTTTTAATATTTAATATATAATTCATATATTAACTAGATTTTAAATTTATATATCTATTTATCTATAGATATGTATCTATAATAAAATTCAATATCTGTAATTCATAAAAAAATTAAATTCAGATATAGATAATTTTAAAAAAATTGAATGGATAATCCATATATCCATATTATTTACATTATCTATAAATAACTCAAATTATACAAATAATATATAATATGAAAAATACAAATAATAATTATAGATAGTATAAATTATTTAAATGAAATACCAAATTTTATATATTAATTAATTTTACA